ATGACTAAACAGTTGAAAGTTCATAAAATGGGTGACTTTAGTGCTCTCTTCTCCTATATATCCTCCTGATGGTCAGGCGTTTGTGCAGAATAGTGCTGAAGGGGTGCACACTCACCAGAACGCACAGATAAATGAGCGTTTATTATAGATTCCCCTTTAGGATCATCAACTGGACATGCTGTGGTATTACGACAAAACACCTTCCAGACCTCCTAGATGTTCCTGTATATTCCCTGGTTTAGATGACCTGCGTACTTCTCCTTAGGATCAGCATACGATTCGTACCCCACAGAGAGATGAGTGGCTAGAATGGGTACTCCCCAAGGGAGTCAGAACAAAACGCATCCATAGTGTAGTAGGTCATATAAGGATTTATTTAAAATTCAGCAACCCGTGTACACGGTATAAGGTAAACAAAATGGACTAACCGTCCAGTATTAAAAATGACCGCCGGAGCGCCACGATGCTCCGGCGGTATGACGTCACGGCGTTCTTGGCGGGAGGAGGAGCCAAGAACGCCGTGACGTCATACCGCCGGAGCATCGTGGCGCTCCGGCGGTCATTTTTAATACTGGACGGTTAGTCCATTTTGTTTACCTTATACCGTGTACACGGGTTGCTGAATTTTAAATAAATCCTTATATGACCTACTACACTATGGATGCGTTTTGTTCTGACTCCCTTGGGGAGTACCCATTCTAGCCACTCATCTCTCTGTGGGGTACGAATCGTATGCTGATCCTAAGGAGAAGTACGCAGGTCATCTAAACCAGGGAATATACAGGAACATCTAGGAGGTCTGGAAGGTGTTTTGTCGTAATACCACAGCATGTCCAGTTGATGATCCTAAAGGGGAATCTATAATAAACGCTCATTTATCTGTGCGTTCTGGTGAGTGTGCACCCCTTCAGCACTATTCTGCACAAACGCCTGACCATCAGGAGGATATATAGGAGAAGAGAGCACTAAAGTCACCCATTTTATGAACTTTCAACTGTTTAGTCATTTATGACAGATTTCTTGATTTATGCATATATGTTATAGTCATTAGCGCTGCATCTTGTGATATATACAGTCTGACTGGTGGCTATACCATACGGCACTTTACACAACATTAAGGATTCATTTCTGTTCGCTGTTGGGCAAGGATGGGAGTGCCGAGTGAATACAGACCTCATAATATGTAGCCCAGAAGTTTCTAGATTAGAGGGGGAATAATGTCCCATCATTGGTATCAGTGGGAGGAATAGTGTCCCATCATTGGTATCAGTGGGAGGAATAGTGTCCCATCATTGGTATCAGTGGGAGGAATAGTGTCCCATCATTGGTATCAGTGGGAGGAATAGTGCCCCATCATTGGTATCAGTGGGAGGAATAGTGCCCCATCATTGGTGTCAGTGGGAGGAATAGTGTCCCATCGTTGGTATCAGTGGGAGGAATAGTGCCCCATCGTTGGTATCAGTGGGGGGAATAGTGTCCCATCATTGGTATCAGTGGGAGGAATAGTGCCCCATCATTGGTGTCAGTGGGAGGAATAGTGCCTCATCATTGGTGTCAGTGGGAGGAATAGTGCCTCATCATTGGTGTCAGTGGGAGGAATAGTGTCCCATCATTGGTGTCAGTGGGAGGAATAGTGTCCCATCATTGGTGTCAGTGGGAGGAATAGTGCCCCATCATTGGTGTCAGTGGGAGGAATAGTGCCCCATCATTGGTATCAGTGGGAGGAATAGTGTCCCATCATTGGTGTCATTGGGAGGAATAGTGTCCCATCATTGGTATCAGTGGGAGGAATAGTGTCCCATCATTGGTGTCAGTGGGAGGAATAGTGCCCCATCATTGGTGTCAGTGGGAGGAATAGTGCCCCATCATTGGTATCAGTGGAGGAATAGTGTCCCATCATTGGTGTCATTGGGAGGAATAGTGTCCCATCATTGGTATCAGTGGAAGGAATAGTGCCCCATCATTGGTGTCATTGGGAGGAATAGTGTCCCATCATTGGTATCAGTGGAAGGAATAGTGCCCCATCATTGGTGTCAGTGGGAGGAATAGTGTCCCATCATTGGTGTCATTGGGAGGAATAGTGTCCCATCATTGGTGTCATTGGGAGGAATAGTGTCCCATCATTGGTATCAGTGGAAGGAATAATGTCCCATCATTGGTATCAGTGGGAGGAATAGCGTCCCATCATTGGTGTCAGTGGGAGGAATAGCGTCCCATCATTGGTGTCAGTGGGAGGAATAGTGCCCCATCATTGGTATCAGTAGCAGGAATAGTGCCCCATCATTGGTGTCAGTGGGAGGAATAGTGTCCCATCATTGGTATCAGTGGGAGGAATAGTGCCCCATCACTGGTATCAGTGGGAGGAATAGTGCCCCATCACTGGTATCAGTGGGAGGAATAGTGCCCCATCATTGGTGTCAGTGGGAGGAATAGTGCCCCATCATTTGTATCAGTGGGAGGAATAGTGCCCCATCATTGGCGTCACTGGGAGGAATAGTGCCCCATCATTGGTCAGTGGGAGGAATAGGGCCCCATCATTGGTATCAGTGGGAGGAATAGTACCCCATCATTGGTATCAGTGGAAGGAGGAATAGTGCCCCATCATTGGTATCAGTGGAAGGAGGAATAGTGCCCCATCATTGGCATCAGTGGGAGGAATAGTGCCCCATCATTGGTATCAGTGGGAGGAATAGTGCCCCATCATTGGTATTAGTGGGGGGAATAGTGCCCCATCATTGGTATCAGCGGGAGGAATAGCGCCTCATCATTGGTGTCAATGGGGTGAATAGTGCCCCATCATTGGTATCAGTGGGAGGAATAGTGCCCCATCATTGGTGTCAGTGGGAGGAATAGTGTCCCATCATTGGTATCAGTGGGAGGAATAGTGCCCCATCATTGGTATCAGTGGGAGGAATAGTGCCCCATCATTGGTATCAGTGGGAGGAATAGTGCCCCATCATTGGTATCAGTGGGAGGAATAGTGCCCCATCATTGGTATCAGTGGGAGGAATAGTGCCCCATCACTGGTGTATGTGGGAGGAATAGAGCCCCATCATTGGTGTCAGTGGGAGGAATAGAGCCCCTTCATTGGTGTCAGTGGGAGGAATAGTGCCCCATCATTGGTGTATGTGGGAGGAATAGAGCCCCATCATTGGTGTCAGTGGGAGGAATAGTGCTCTATCATTAGTATTAGTGGTGTCAGTGGGATGAATAGTGCCCCATCTTTGGTGTAAGTGGGAGGAATAGTGCCCTAAGAACTGGATAAAGGTAACCAAAGGGCTGCAGTTTGGAGACCACTGGTCTACTGTGAACGCATGGCCATGAAGATTTGCCACTGAATGGGGGTATGGATGAATCTGGGGAGGGTACTGTAGGTTGGGGAGGGGGGGTTCTCAAAAGTATTAATAACCTTTAAAATGGAAAAAGTCTAACTATTTTTAAAAAAGATCCCTCCGCTTACCTATCCTGCATAAGAGAGATGTGTGAGCTTGCCTATTTTTATCTGCTCTGGTCCGGCCACATGATACCGCAGCTCTGTCCCAGAGAGTGTTTGACAACAACTGAGATTTCCTGGAGCACTGACATCACTGATAGGCTCCCATGGCCCAGCCGTTGTTGGTGCTCCCTCCTCTCCCCTGCAGCAGCCGCTCACTGACACAAGAGAGCCAGAGCTACAGGATCACATGCCCCGACAGGAATGGATTAAAGATAGGTGAGTACATATCTTTTTGTATACAGATTAGGCCGGATAGGTAGGAGGAGGGGGGACATTTTTAATAGTAGACTCTTCTTCCGTTGAATTGAGCGCCATGTTGTTCTGTAGCACTGCTGTGTCCAAATCAATGTAACTCTGCGGAGTAAATCTGCCACCATGTGGTCATACAGTAATACTACATGGACAAACCAGACCAAGTAAAATCCCCCAGTTAAGGGGAGCTGTGCATAGAGTTGAAGGGTCATCTCAATAAAGTAAAAGGAAACCATTAAACGCAGATGATCGCACCACGCCTACATAACGCAGACCTGTGCATGCACCTTATATGGGCCGCATATAAAATAAATATATTATTATCAATATGTGTGACTGTAAGCTGCTGCAATGTGTTGCAGATCTTTTAACAGCGCCTGAAAGTAACATACTTGAATTAAATGAATTGTGGGGATGGTTCTGTGTTTGAATGGAAGACAAGGTTGGACAAAGGCTTCGTTTACATTTCCAGGTCCAATCTTTGGGTTTTGTAGGGACCTCTCCTGTAATGATCAATTCCAAATAACATGTGAAAGCAATCATTGAGCTGATAATGGTGTCCAGCTAAAACTGCAACTGTGCCAAAGTTAGCAAGTTCTCTCTGTTGAATTAATCTGTCTTTTCTGTAATAAACTGCAGCAGCCAGAGTGCAGAGAGAATCTCACAGGGTCACTGGGAGTGTACTTCCTGACAGTTCTCTCCCTTTGCCTCTTGTGTTCACATTCAACTGGCTAAACCAGCTGCTGAAGATTGCAGTGCCAGTTCACTCATTGTTTGAAAGTCTCCACTAATGCTCGAGTCTGCTTACCTTGGTTTCTCTATTTCTATAAGCCCACAAAGCCTTCGTTAGGTGAGACAAAGCAACCACAGGACTGACTGAGTAAGCTTAGGTCCCTTTATGCACATGCGGGTTTAATGTTTCCATTTGGATGGATTGTATCTTAAAACGAGGAGATATTGGTGTTTGTAATGTGTCTGCTGTGGTCCTTCATTCAGAAAGCTGCTCAGCAGGGCTTACCCTGTATAGTTTCCCACCTCCATTAATAATAAAAGATACCCAATCGGGTTACGGTGAGTTTTGGCCAATGGGAGAACCCCCCCAGACCAGATCCTCCCCTGAATTCAGCAGAAACTGCCTGTACTATGTCAGTGGGAGTATTGAACAGGATGTGTGCTATGTGTAGGAAAATCCTTCCCCGGGAACAGAAATTTATGTTATGAATGGTTTACAAAAGCCATTGGTCTGTGTTACCTTGTGTTTGGGACATCTTAGTGAGAAGTTCTCTTCACTTAATAAGCAGCCTGAAACAAAAAAAGTTTACATATTAAAAAAGAATTGCATAGCCCTGCTGCTTGGCTTGTAATCCGTACCCCTTCTTTGCCTTTTACCCTTCACACCACTATCCAACCCTACCAGGTCCACCACCATACCCAGTCCCACTCTAGCATTCATACTACACCATCCCTATACACCAACCTAACCGCTCCACCACCCACACTATCCAATCCTGTTCCATCACCCATCCTACCTGCTCCACCACCCACACTGCCTCAGAGTGATCCACCATCATACCCACTCCATTTCCCACCCTAACTGCTCCACCACCCACACTGCCTCATCCTAATCCACCATCCTACTCGCTCCATCATACACCTTACCTGCTCCACCACCCATACTGCCTCATCCTGATCTACCATCCTACCCGCTCCAACACCCATCCTACCTGCTCCACCACCCACACTGCCTCATCCTGATCCACCATCCTACTCACTCCATTTCCCACCACCACCCTAGCTGCTTCACCACACACCATACCTGTCCACCACCCACACTGCCTCATCCTGATCCACCATCCTACTCACTCCATTTCCCACCACCACCCTAGCTGCTTCACCACACACCATACCTGTCCACCACCCACACTGCCTCATCCTGATCCACCATCCTACTCACTCCATTTCCCACCACCACCCTAGCTGCTTCACCACACACCATACCTGTCCACCACCCATACTACCTCATCCTGATCTACCATCCTACCCACTCCAACACCCATCCTACCTCATCCTGATCTACCATCCTACCCACTCCAACACCCATCCTACCTCATCCTGATCCACCATCATACCTGCTCCATTTCCCACCACCAACCTAACTGCTCCACCACACACCATACCTGCTCCACCAACCATACTACCTCATCCTGATCTACCATCCTACCCGCTCCAACACCCATCCTACCTCATCCTGATCCACCATCATACCTGCTCCATTTCCCACCACCCTAGCTGCTCCACCACACACCATACCTGCTCCACCAACCATACTACCTCATCCTGATCTACCATCCTACCCGCTCCATCATACACCTGCTCCACCACCCATACTACCTCATCCTGATCTACCATCCTACCCACTCCAACACCCATCCTACCTGCTCCACCACCCACACTACCCCATCCTGATCCACCATCATACCCGCTTCATTTCCCACCACCCTAGCTGCTCCACCACACACCATACCTGCTCCACCAACCATACTACATCATCCTGATCTACCATCCTACCCGCTCCATCATCCACCTTACCTTCTCCACCACCCATACTACCTCATCCTGATCTACCATCCTACCCCACTCCAACACCCATCTTACCTGCTCCAACATCCACACTGCCTCATTCTGATCCATCTTACTTGCTCCATTTCCCACCACCACCCTAGTTGCTCCACCACACAGCCTACCTGCTCCACCACCCATACTACTTCATCCTGATCTATCATCCTACCCGCTCCATCATCCACCTTACCTGCTTCATCACCCATTCTACCTCATCCTGATCTACCATCCTGCCCGCTCCAACATCACCCTACCTGCTCCACCACCCACAGTATCCCATACTGATCCACCTGATCAACCACCAAACCAACTCCATCACCCACCCTACCTGGTCAACCACCCAAACTACCTCATCCTGATCCACCATCCTTCCCGCTTCATCAACCATCCTACCCATTACGCGACCCACTCTACCTGGTCCACAACTCTACCCCGGTACCCGCCCATCATTCACCATACCCTATCCTGGTCCTACCACCCTACCCACTCCACCACCCACCCTGTCTAGACCACCCCCTCCAATTAGAGAATGCTTTGGTTTCAATCAGAAAATGCAAAGCATTCCCTGAATTGTGCCTGTGCTGAATGGCTGACCTCCTGTGTTAACAGTGCAGCTGTTTGGCATGAGAAGCAAGTGGAGATCACTGGAGTAGCGGTGTGTATTACAGTGATTACCAGATTCCAGGGGGACTGGCCAGGTACAGTATATACATAGTTAAATTGGTTACAACTCAACCAGTGTAAGTATATATAAAATATTCTAGATTTAAAATACCTAGAATTCCTCTTTAAGAATAGCTAATGCTTTTCAGGGGAAAAAGACCTCTACCTTTTTCAGAGCCTAAAATATAAGGAATGTAATTACAGGTGTTCATCAGAGAAGAGAGAAAACTGGATAGCTGACCATCCTCTTCTCCACGAATACACAATGCCAACCCAGTTTTCATTAATTTATTAACACCTTTTAATTATATTACATATATTTTAAGCCCTGAAGAGGGGGGGGCCTTTATCCACCGAAACGCGTTGGCTAATTCTTCAGTAAATTCAGTAAATATTTTATGCTACTCTTCAAGCTACATGACCATTCATGAAGCTATGTGATCATTCATCGAGCTACGTATGTGACCATTCATCGCGCTACGTGACTTTTCATCAAGATGACTGTTCATCAAGCCATGTGACCATTCATCGAGCTATGTGACCATTCACTGAGTTATGTCTCAATTCATCGAGCTACTTGACCATTCATTGAGCTATGTGACCGAAGCTACATGATCATTGATCAAGCCACATGACCATTCATTCAAGTGTTCATTAATTTAATGAACTCCATCTGGTTTTAATTATATTACATATATTTTAGGCCCTGAAGAGGGGGCCTTTTTCTTCCGTAACGTGTTGGATAACTCTTAATCAGTAAATATTTTATACTAATCATCAAGCTGTGTGACTGTTCATCGAACTATGTGACTGTTCATCGAGATGACTGTTCATCAAGCTACATGACCATTCATTGAGCTATGTGACAGAAGCTACGTGACCATTGAACAAGCTACATGACCATCCATTCAGTTACGTTCATCCCAGTTTTCATTAAGTTAATGAACACCATCTGGTTTTATTTACATTACATTATATATATATATTATAGGCCCTGAAGAGGGGGCCTTTTTCTTCTGAAACACGCTGGATAACTGTTAATCAGTAAATATTTTAAACTAATCCTGAAGCTGTGTGACCGTTCTTCAAGCTACGTGACCGTTCTTAGAGCTACCTGGCCGTTTGCCAAGCTACCTGGCCATTTCCCGAGCTACCTGGACGTTCATCAAGCTATGAGACTGTTCTTCAAGCTACCTGGCCGTTCATCAAGCTATGAGACTGTTCTTCGAGCTACCTGGCCGTTCATCAAGCTACGAGACTGTTCTTCGAGCTACCTGGCCGTTCATCAAGCTATGAGACTGTTCTTCGAGCTACCTGGCTGTTCATCAAGCTACGAGAGTGTTGTTCGAGTTACCTGGCCGTTCATCAAGCTACAAGACTGTTCTTCGAGCTACCTGGCCGTTCATCAAGCTACGAGACTGTTCTTCAAGTTACCTGGCTGTTCATCAAGCTACGAGAGTGTTGTTCGAGTTACCTGGCCGTTCATCAAGCTACGAGACTGTTCTTCTAGCTACCTGGCCGTTCATCAAGCTACGAGACTGTTCTTCGAGCTACCTGGCTGTTCATCAAGCTATGAGACTGTTATTCTAGCTACCTGGCTGTTCATCAAGCTACGAGACTGTTCTTCGAGCTACCTGGCCATTCATCAAGCTACGAGAGTGTTGTTCGAGTTACCTGGCCGTTCATCAAGCTACGAGACTGTTCTTCTAGCTACCTGGTTGTTCATCAAGCTACGAGACTGTTGTTCTTCGAGCTACCTGGCCATTCATCAAGCTACGAGAGTGTTCTTCGAGCTACCTGGCCGTTCATCAAGCTACAAAGACTGTTCTTCGAGCTACCCCGGCCGTTCAAGCTATGAGACTGTTCTTCTAGCTACCTGGCCGTTCATCAAGCTACGAGACTGTTCTTCGATTTACCTGGCCACTCATCAAGCTAAGAGACTGTTCTTCGAGCTACCTGGCCGTTCATCAACCTACGAGACTGTTCTTCAAGCTACCTGGCCACTCATCAAGCTAAGAGACTGTTCTTCGAGCTACCTGGCCGTTCATCAAGCTACGAGACTGTTCTTCGAGCTACCTGGCCGTTCATCAAGCTACGAGACTGTTCTTCGAGCTACCTGGCCGTTCATCAAGCTACGAGACTGTTCTTCGAGCTACCTGGCCGTTCATCAAGCTACGAGACTGTTCTTCGAGCTACCTGGCTGTTCATCAAGCTACGAGACTGTTCTTCGAGCTACCTGGCTGTTCATCAAGCTATGAGACTGTTCTTCTAGCTACCTGGCCATTCGTCAAGCTACGAGACTGTTCATGGAACTACCTGACCATTCATCAAGCAAAGTGACAGTTCGTCTAGCTATGTGACCGTTCATCAAGCTAAGTGACCATTGTTGAGCTATGTGACCATTCATCGAGCTACGTGAAAATGGAGTATTTGTAGTTCAGTGCATTTACCACGACCAGGGAGGTAGCCTCCACTCTAGGTTGGTCTCCTCAAAGGAGAACTAGCTTTCTCTATAGAGAATATTGATCGGTCTAGTACTACCTTACGTCCACTATATCTGCGGTGTGTGTTGGTGCTTGTGCCTCACCTGCCTCCATGGCACACGTGTAGTGGTAGGACTGGACACATCCCTTGTGGCTGCAGCCCACGGTGGCCCCAGGCTTTTGACACTTGGGACAGAGCTGTAAGACAGAAAGCAGAGTCAGTGTTTGCAGCAGCAGACAAAGTCTTTTTGGGGACGAGGTTGTACAGGGTCAGGGAAAAAAACAATCATATGCAGGATTATGATTCACAGCTATTGCATCCCACTACCCAGAATCCTTAGTAGCGGCAAGAATGTCTCTGTGTGGACTTGTCTAAGAAATGTCAACAGGAACACAATGCCCTAATCTGTGGTTTACAGGCCAATATATACACGTTACACCGTGTTCCTTTTCTGCTTCCAAAAGAAGCATGGTAAGGCATGCCGATAAAACCTAAAGTGTATGTCTAACCAAGACCTCCAGCCTTCCCTTCAGTCTTGCCCAGTTGTACCGGCTCCTCTCCTGCACTGGCTTACTCTGATTTCACTGCACACTGTGAGCTTCTCATAATGTGCACTAGAAGCTGCAGCAAGTCAGATCAAGCCCCACCTCATTTCTTGGCTGGAAGACGTCCAGCATCATCGTTGCCTAGGGTGATCTGCATGCAAACGCAGTCTAGGAAACTCCACCCATCCACCCATCAAGGCATTTTGATATTTGCATAGCTACTCCCAGGAGCCAGACCACTGCTTGTGTCAGGGCTGAGCATTCTTGAGCGGAGCACTGAAGCAGGGTGCTGTGATGTTTTCAGGAAGCTATGTACCACACCCTGCTGGCCCCTCCTATCAGCCATGATCTGCCTGAACCGCATAGAGAAGCACAGAGACCCAGTTATGAGGTCACTGGGTCTAAAATTAAGGGATGTAATGAAAACGGTTTTATTTTAAAACTTTATCAAAATGCTGATGAAGTGGGTTAGAGGAACAGGGAAGACAAAATGTAAGCACATAAAAAGTCAGCTTTAAGGCTAGGTTCACACTTGTGCGGTGCGGTATATCGCATGTGATGCGCGCAGGAACCGCGCCGCATTACTATGCAAATCACATGCGATTTGTGTGCGGTGCGATTGGAACCATACATTTTATATGGCTCAAATCGCACTGCATCCACCCCAAAAAGGTGCAGGACCCTTTTTGGTCTGTACTAGAATCAGATCTCATGGGTATTCACACCCATGCGATCCGATTCTGCACATTGCACCGCATTTTGCGGACCGATTTTGGGGTGTTGTTAACGTAACATATACACCTGCGGTGGTTCCCATGAATGGGGTGCGATTCTGAGGCGGTGCAGAATTCGCACAGAAAACACTACAAATTCCGGACCGCATCAGTGTGAACCCGGGCTTACTGCACTGTGCCCTTCTGTTTCAGAAATATTCTCATTGCCATGGATGAGAAGAGGCCCTGAGCCTATTGAACAGAATGGCTGCTGGCATCCCCTTCATCTATTTTTCGCTAATGCACACTGGGGTTGATTTACTAAAACTGGAGCACTCAGAATCTGGTGCAGCTGTGCACGAGAGCCAATCAGCTTCTAACTTCAGCTTCTTCAATTAAGTTTTGGCAATAAAACCTGGAAGCTGATTGGTTTATATGCAGAGCTGCACCAGATTTTGCACTCTCTAGTTTTAGTAAATCTCCCCCAATGCAGTTCACAGCAGCCTCTGGAGCAGGGGTGGACTGACAACTCATGGGGCCCCTGGGCAATAGGGGATCATGGGGCCCCTGTGTCCTTGCTCAAACTCAAAAAAGCCTATGAAAAAGGTACCAGGGGCATCTCTTGGGGCCCCCTACTGACCCCGGGCCCTCGGGCAGTGCCCGAGTTTCCAAATGGTCAATCCGCCCCTGCTCTGGAGGAGCAGCGTCTGTAGTGAGATCTGAAGCATCACTCACATAATTGTAGCATCAAAATCCATTGTAGATACAGACCAGTAAGAACATGTAAAGGTCCAGGATTTTTTTTTTAGTTACAGTAATATTTCAGTTACAGATGGAGCCTGGTGAGCTATGTCAGCTCCTGGCTTCCAACAGGTCTTGGATACTCCAACAGTTAGGCTAGGTTCACACCTATGCAGTTTGCATTTGATCCGTTTCAGCACTGTCCAGACAGAAGTCAGGGGTTCTGCATCCTCCTAGAGCAAAATTAAAAACTCCTATACGCTTTAACCAGTGCTCTGCTGGACACTTACATAGTTACATAGTTAGTCTGGGTGAAAAAAAGACAAAAGTCCATCCAGTTATACCATAGAAAAAAAGAAAACGTTATAATCCTACACCCACAGTTGATCCAGAGGAAGGCAAAAAAAACCCCAACAACACATGATCCAATTTGCTCCTGCAGGGGAAAAAAATTCCTTCCTGATCCCCCGAGAGGCAATTGGATATTCCCTGGATCAACTTTACCTATAAATGTTATATCCAGTTATATTCTGTGTATCCAAGAAAGAATCCAGAACTTTCCTACAGCAATCCACTGAGCTGGCCACAACCAACTCTGGAGGGAGTCTATTCCACATTCCCACAGCTCTCACTGTGAAGAAACCTTTCCTTGTTTGGAGATTACATTTCTTTTCCTCCAGATGTAAAGAGCGCCCCCTTGTCCTCTGTGATGACCTCAGGAGGAATAACTCTACACCGAGTTCACTATATGAACCACTGATGTATTTATACATGGAGATCATATCCCCCTTATGTATTATACATGGAGATCATATCCCCCCTTATTTATTATACATGGAGATCATATCCCCCCTTATGTATTATACATGGAGATCATATCCCCCCCTTATGTATTATACATGGTGATCATATCCCCCCTTATGTATTATACATGGAGATCATATCCCCCCTTATGTATTATACATGGTGATCATATCCCCCCTTATGTATTATACATGGTGATCATATCCCCCCCCTTATGTCTTATACATGGAGATCATATCCCCCCTTATGTATTATACATGGAGATCATATCCCCCCTTATGTATTATACATGGAGATCATATCCCCCTTATGTATTATACATGGAGATCATATCCCCCTTATGTATTATACATGGAGATCATATCCCCCCTTATGTATTATACATGGAGATCATATCCCCCCTTATGTATTATACATGGTGATCATATCCCCCCCCCCTTATGTCTTACTTATACATGGAGATCATATCCCCCCTTATGTATTATACATGGAGATCATATCCCCCTTATGTATTATACATGGAGATCATATCCCCCCTTATGTATTATACATGGAGATCATATCCCCCCTTATGTATTATACATAGAGATCATATCCCCCTTATGTATTATACATGGAGATCATATCCCCCTTATGTATTATACATGGAGATCACATCCCCCTTATGTATTATACATGGTGATCATATCCCCCCCCCCCTTATGTATTATACATGGTGATCATATCCCCCCTTATGTATTATACATGGAGATCATATCCCCCTTATGTATTATACATGGAGATCATATCCCCCCTTATGCATTATACATGGTGATCATATCCCCCTTATGTATTATACATGGAGATCATATCCCCCCTTATGTATTATACATAGAGAGATCATATCCCCCTTATGTATTATACATGGAGATCATATCCCCCCTTATGTATTATACATGGTGATCATATCCCCCCTTATGTATTATACATGGAGATCATATCCCCCCTTATGTATTATACATGGAGATCATATCCCCCCTTTATGTATTATACATGGAGATCATATCCCCCCTTATGTATTATACATGGAGATCATATCCCCCCTTATGTATTATACATGGAGATCATATCCCCCCTTATGTATTATACATGGTGATCATATCCCCCCTTATGTATTATACATGGAGATCATATCCCCCCTTATTATACATGGAGATCATATCCCCCCTTATGTATTATACATGGAGATCATATCCCCCCTTATGTATTATACATGGAGATCATATCCCCCCTTATGTATTATACATGGAGATAATATCCCCCCTTATGTATTATACATGGAGATCATATCCCCCCCTTTATGTATTATACATGGAGATAATATCCCCCCTTATGTATTATACATGGAGATCATATACCCCCCCCTTTATGTATTATACATGGAGTTCATATCCCCCTTATGTATTATACATGGAGATCATATCCCCCCCCCCTTATGTATTATACATGGAGATCATATCCCCCCCCCCCCCTTATGTATTATACATGGAGATCATATCCCCCCCTTATGTATTATACATGGTGATCATATCCCCCTTATGTATTATACATGGTGATCATATCCCCCCTTATGTATTATACATGGTGATCATATCCCCCCTTATGTATTATACATGGAGATCATATCCCCCTTTATGAATTATACATGGAGATCATATCCCCCCTTATGTATTATACATGGAGATTATATCCCCCCTTATGTATTATACATGGAGATAATATCCCCCCTTATGTATTATACATAGAGATCATATCCCCCCCTTTATGTATTATACATGGAGTTCATATCCCCCTTATGTATTATACATGGAGATCATATCCCCCCCTTATGTATTATACATGGAGATCATATCCCCCCCCCTTATGTATTATACATGGAGATCATATCCCCCCCTTATGTATTATACATGGTGATCATATCCCCCTTATGTATTATACATGGTGATCATATCCCCCCTTATGTATTATACATGGTGATCATATCCCCCCTTATGTATTATACATGGAGATCATATCCCCCCCTTATGTATTATACATGGAGATCATATCCCCCCCTTATGTATTATACATGGAGATCATATCCCCCCCTTATGTATTATACATGGAGATCATATCCCCCCCTTATGTATTATACATGGAGATCATATCCCCCCTTATGACTCCATGCTGTCTGTTGCTTAAAATGTTTTTTTCCAGCAAGAACTCATCTATGTGTCTTTTATTAAACTCTCCAGTATCTTCCAAATATAGAGGTTAAACTAAGAGGTCTATAATTACTTGGTAAAGATTTTGACCCTGATTGTGACACTGATAGAAAGTTATAAGACTGCTGTATACTGCTGATGAGAAAAGGTATTTAGCAGTTTATATTTATTAAAATAATTGCATTTCCATGTTCTTTGTACTGTGGGAGACCAGATATAGTGAATGCAGGGTCTGGGGAGACCAGATATAGTGAATGCAGGGTCTGGGGAGAGCAGAGATATAGTGAATGCAGGGTCCGGGGGAGAGCGGATATAGTGAATGCAGGGTCCGGGGAGACCAGATATAGTGAATGCAGGGTCCAGGGAGATCAGATATAGCGAATGCAGGGTCTGGGGAGAGCAGATATAGTGAATGCAGGGTCCGGGGAGACCAGATATAGTGAATGCAGGGTCCTGGGAGACCGGATATAGTGAATGCGGGGTCCGGGGAGAGCGGATATAGTGAATGCAGGGTCCGGGGAGACCAGATATAGTGAATGCAGGGTCTGGGGAGACCGGATATAGTGAATGCAGGGTCCGGGGAGACCGGATATAGTGAATGCAGGGTCCAGGGAGATCAGATATAGTGAATGCAGGGTCCAGGGAGATCAGATATAGTGAATGCAGGGTCCGGGGAGACCGGATATAGTGAATGCAGGGTCCAGGGAGATCAGATATAGTGAATGCAGGGTCCAGGGAGATCAGATATAGTGAATGCAGGGTCCGGGGAGAGCGGATATAGTGAATGCAGGGTCCGGGGAGACCAGATATAGTGAATGCAGGGTCCAGGGAGATCAGATATAGTGAATGCAGGGTCTGGGGAGAGCAGATATAGTGAATGCAGGGTCCGGGGAGACCAGATATAGTGAATGCAGGGTCCTGGGAGACCGGATATAGTGAATGCGGGGTCCGGGGGGAGAGCGGATATAGTGAATGCAGGGTCCGGGGAGACCAGATATAGTGAATGCAGGGTCCGGGGAGAGCGGATATAGTGAATGCCAGGTCCGGGGAGAGCGGATCTAGTGAATGCAGGGTCCGGGGAGAGCGGATATAGTGAATGCAGGGTCCGGGGAGAGCAGATATAGTGAATGCAGGGTCCGAGGAGACCAGATATAATGAATGCAGGGTCCGGGGAGACCAGATATAGTGAATGCAGGGTCCGGGGAGACCACATATACTGAATGCAGGGTCCGGGGAAACCAGATATAGTGAATGCAGGGTCTGGGGAGACAACATATACTGAATGCAGGGTCCGGGGTTTAATGACACTAACTTTCAAACTGTCTGAAGGAAGAACTGGTTATTTTGCACTTAGTAGCTTGCCAAATGCCCCACTGCATTATGGGAGAAGAGACAACCTATGGCTAATTCAGACACCTCGACAAATGAACCAACCTCCCTGGGTTCCCTGGAGGCTGGGATCTGGGACAAAATCTGCTCTCTACAGTAAGAGAACGGAGTGCAAGAAAAAGAGTTTCCGCATTTTATTCTGTTTATTAAGGAAAACCCGGCCCGGCATCCAGACACCAGGGAAGGATTTGACACTGACGCAGGAGCCAGCTGTTGTACGTTATGGGTATTTATATGAGTGGATATATTTAGGATATATATATATATATTGTGATACAAGGTGATTAAGTTCAGTGGTATTGAAGTTTTCAGGGAGTTATGCCAGTCCGTGGTTTAAAGGCTCGGCAGGCCACTTTTATTAAGCACAACTACAAGAAAAGTCCACCAAACACAGCTGCCCACCCATGGGATTTTCTCCAGCCAAAAGCAGGTGAGAAAACATGGGCCTAGCACAGGGGGTGGGCAAACTTTTTGATTTGAGGGCCGCAATGGGTTCATATATTGGACCCGGGGGCCGGACCAAGAGTAGATGAATGATGTGTATGTGTCATCCATAGTAAGTATAGTAATATTCCCCCATAGTAAGCATAGTAATTCATCCCCCATAGTAATTCATCCCCCATATAGTAATTCATCCCCCATATAGTAATTCATCCCCCATAGTAATTCATCCCCCATATAGTAATTCATCCCCCATATAGTAATTCATCCCCCATAGTAATTCATCCCCCATATAGTAATTCATCCCCCATAGTAATTCATCCCCCATATAGTAATTCATCCCCCATAGTAATTCATCCCCCATAGTAATTCATCCCCCATATAGTAATTCATCCCCCATAGTAATTCATCCCCCATATAGTAATTCATCCCCCCATATAGTAATTCATCCCCCATAGTAATTCATCCCCCATATAGTAATTCATCCCTCATATAGTAATTCATCCCCCCATATAGTAATTCATCCCCCATATAGTAATTCATCCCCCTATAGTAATTAATCCCCCATATAGTAATTCATCCCCCATATAGTAATTCATCCCCCATATTAATTCATCCCTCATATAGTATTTCATCCCCCATATAGTAATTCATCCCCCATATAGTATTTCATCCCCCATAGTAATTCATCCCCCATATAGTAATTCATCCCCCCTATAGTAATTAATCCCCCATATAGTAATTAATCCCCCATATAGTAATTCATCCCCCTATAGTAATTCATCCCTCATATAGTATTTCATCCCCCACAGTACTATTCCCCCCCAAGTAGTAAGCCAAGTCCCCCCTGTGTCAATTCACTTACCTTTGCTCCGCGCGTTCCTCTCGCCGTGTTCCCGCGCCGTTCCGGTCTTCAGGGCGGACTGTGAGAGGAGCCTAGCTCCCTTCACGTTCGTCACGCTGCCCCGCTTACACACATCCTGACAGCCAATGTATCACACTCCGCGGGCCGGATTAAAAGGTCCGCCGGGCCGTAGTTGCCCATTGCTGGTCTAAACCCATTTTTTGTGTATTCCTCCTTGAGGCTAGGTTCACACTTATGGCATGTGATTCGCACAGCAACCGCACCACATTCCAGTGCAAATCACATGCGATTTGTGTGCGGTGCGATTGGAGCCATAAATTATGTATGGATCAAATCGCACCACACCCGCACCGAAAAGGTGCAGGACCCTTCACTAGAATCGGATCGCATGGGTATTCACACCTATGCGATCTGATTTTGCACATCGTTCCACGTTTTGCGAACCGATTTCGGAGTGTTGTTAACTTAACATACACACCTGCATCAGTTCGCATGAACGGGGTGCGATTATGATGCGGTGCGGAATTCGCACAGAAAACGCGGCGAATTCCACACCGCATCACTGTGAACCCGGGCTGAATCTTGGTGTGCTCTGTACATCCAGTTGACCTCCGGAAGACATGTCCAAGCCATTTGTTGCTTTTTGGCACTGCGCTATTTTAACAGACCATTGCACAGTCATGCAACTCTGTACACAAATGAAATGTATATGATTTTTTTCCCCACAAATAGAGCTTTCTTTTGGTGGTATTTAAAGTAACATGTGATGGACTACTAGTGCTTAGTAGTGACTAATAAGTGTCCTCATAGCATGAATGCAATAGTCCCAATAAACTTGTGCAAGACGTGATGGACTCCGTGCTGTGAAGTGTTTAATATTATGCACTCACCAGAAAGCGCATAAAAAAGCGCATTTGAGTTGTCAGACCACTCCTGGTCCCAGAAGGGTTGAACCTATATGGATCCTCCGGCAAGCTGTCACTCTGTCACTCCTTAACCAGCAGGGGGACTCCCGACATCCAAAGGACCCCACAGGGATAATCCAGGCTCATTAACCAGGGCACTCACATGCAGTATCCACCTTGAGGGGGGGGGGGGGCTTGACCAGAAAGCCCACCCCAAAAAAACACTGATAGTGTAGTATGTTCCAAACAAATGTTCTTTATTAAGAGATGATGTGTACATATAACTCACAGGGTATCCCAGATACAAAGATGGCCGCCGGCCTCCACGAGGTACGGAACGGCGTGACGTCACCGGCTAGGCTCCACCCTTTCTGGTCAAGCCCCCCCCCCCCTCAAGGTGGATACTGCATGTGAGTGCCCTGGTTAATGAGCCTGGATTATCCCTGTGGGGTCCTTTGGATGTCGGGAGTCCCCCTGCTGGTTAAGGAGTGACAGAGTGACAGCTTGCCGGAGGATCCATATAGGTTCAACCCTTCTGGGACCAGGAGTGGTCTGACAACTCAAATGCGCTTTTTTATGCGCTTTCTGGTGAGTGCATAATATTAAACACTTCACAGCACGGAGTCCATCACGTCTTGCACAAGTTTATTGGGACTATTGCATTCATGCTATGAGGACACTTATTAGTCACTACTAAGCACTAGTAGTCCATCACATGTTACTTTAGATGTTTTCATGTTTCATTTTTTAGCGCTGCATGTGTTATTGTCTTAGTGTGAAGGTTTGAGGTTTGTGCCTTTCATGCCAGCTGCTTGCCACGCATCTCCAAGCGCTCGTTAATTATCTCTCTTTTTTCTGCTTTTTGGTGGTATTTGATCACCGTTGGTTTTTTATTTTTTTTTTGCACTGTAAATGAAGAAAAGACCAAAAATTTTGAAAAACAAACAATATTTTTTACTTTCTGCTATGAAACAAATCCAATTAAAAAAATAAAACTTCTTCATAAATTTAGGCCGAATATATTCTGCTAAATATTTTTGCTAAAAAAAATCCCATTAAGGGTATATTGATTGGTTTATGTGAACGTTATAGAGTCTACAAACTATGGTACATATACTGGATTTCTTTTTCGTTAAACTAGCAATGGCAGCGTTCAGCGACCTATAGCGGGATTGCGGCACACAATCTGACACTGACACTTTGTGGGAACCAATGACACTAATACAATGATCAGCACTAAAAATGTGCACTGACACTGTATGAATGACACTGTCTGGGAAGGGGTTAAACATCTAGGGTGATCAAGGGCTTAAATGTGTTTTTGTGTGAAGTTTCAGGTGCTTTTACTAAAGGATGTGCTGGATTTTATTCCCTGCTTTGCAGGAAAACAAAATCCAGCACATCGCTGCTGACAGGACCAGGGGTGGACTGACAACTCTTGGGCCCCCGGGCAATAGGGGATCATGGGGCCCCTGTGTCCTTGCCCAAACTCAAAAAAGCCTATGAAAAAGGTACCAGGGGCATCTCATGGGGCCCGCTACTGACCCCGGGCCCTCGAGCAGTGCCCTGAGTTTCCAAATGGTCAGTTCGCCCCTGGACAGGACAGAGACCTGCCTTGTTTGCATTCGTAAGCTCTCCTCACCGATCAGCGGGTTCCGGTGATCATCAATTGGCTGGCACCCGCTGATCGGCTTGTGCTGTGTCTAATCACAGCACAGCCGGGTCGCCGGCAGCACGCGCATGTGCCCCCTACCCAGAAATATTGGATCACGTACTCCGCCGCCGTATAACAACGCTATGCAGTTGGAGAGTGGATATTTCCCCCAGACCTGTCAAGTGATCCATCCTGAGACTATACTTCCTGTAATAAAGACCAGTCCCTGCTGCTCTCTCTCCTTGTGTAGGGTGGCCGGTCTTGTCGCCACCCCCTCCTGCAGTTTTCTGTAGTGGGTGGAGCCTGCTGGACCCTTCCTACAACTGTGCTATCTTCACAGGCTATATAAAGCACAGTGATGATGTCGCTGCTACTTCCACAAGGTAATAACTGAGTTTGGGGGCAATCAGTGCACCCAAAGTGGATTTACTATATATCCTTTTGTAGTTATTGAGGAATATAGTTAAATACATTTTTTTTGGCCTGGAGTTCAGCTTTAAGCCAACTGAAAAAAAAAACCTATAGCTTTCAGTAACCAGTTTCTGCCAGTAGGTGGCGGAATATAATAGTGCACCTACTCCCCCACCCCCCTCCTGTCAGCACAAGTCATTCACCAAAAAAATGAATCGCATAGCAACGTCTCTTGACGTGTTCTACCCCAACTATGTTTTTTAAAATTTATTTTTCACATTATAAATTTTAGCTGTATACGTCATTCTGTTTTATGCGCTGATTACGTAATTGAAGAACGTGAAATAAGGAGCACAGAGATACACAAGTCCCTTGTTATGTCAGTTGTTGCCTGGTGACCAGAAATAAAACGATTACTTATACCGGTTGGGTGTGCCGTTCACCTCATT